CCCCCCCCCCCCCCCCCCCGTGAGATTTCTCATCCGAAGATGATCAAGACGAAGTTATGTTAGAAGTTAAGTTCGGCTTGGGAGGAACTAATTATGAGGGAGGGTCGACCTTTGAGCCATAATCATTCCCATCATGCACCATTATTTTTTCAATCCTTGTTGCGAGACTGGGTACAAATAAGGTACACTTGGGAACTATACTGGTAATACTGGGATGGAGTAACATGTTAGGTAGGGATTGTGTGTTCGCTGGTTGCAAGTGGACGAAAAAATTCTAATAAATCTTATCAACCGATTGAGTGCCAGCGTTCTCCCCTAAACTGGGGTGCGTTAAGGCGGATTTCCAGTCGTCGCACGAAACTCCTCGCAACTCGCTGCGAGCACTTGCATCTAATTAAAATGAATTGTTTAGCACTGTGATTGGATGAAAGTGCTCATGCATCACTCGCAGCGAACTGCGAGGAGCTTCGTACGAGGACTGGAAATATATTAATCCGCCTTAAGGGTGCAATGCAATGGGTTAACCCAGTAAAATAATAAAGTAGGGCGCATCTGGGAGCATTGCCACTTAAAGGGTTAACCCATTGAGTGGCAGCACTCTCCCCCTGACAAGTAAAATCGTCTGGCATTATACACAGGGTAAAATAATAAAGTAGGGTGCATCTGGGCACTTAAAGACCTAACACTGACATACCTAATAACTTTAATATGCCGCAGTAAAAGATATACAAAAGGCATGCAATATATTTCACATAATCTTATACAAACTCTAATCTTAAGTTAATGCTCTGATGCATAATCTTAATTACTTATTATTTATTTATTTATTACTTAAAACTAATTACCTATTAGTGAATTGCTCTAATCTATAAGAGTATTACTCCGCGAAATGCTATGCCTATGTTTTTGCTTCTTGTACCTAAAATTTTACCGATAATCAAACAGTTGTTTTGTGTTTCCGCTAGCTTGCCTGGCCGTGATAGTGCTTGGATACAAGAAACATGGAAAAATTCAAAATCCTGCTTCAACTCAAGTACGTCAGGCTGTGTCACTAGCAAGAAGGGCTGAACTACAACTTGGTTGAAGGATTTGAAACTCTAAATATACGGCAGTAATGTCATGGAGAATTAATGAATCAATACTACAGTCTAATGTAGCTAATTAGTGGAATAAGCTAGGAGGTAACCACTACTTTCCATTAATGGCTTTTTGAATGTCAAAACTGAATTCTTACAGTTATTGGTTATTATATGTAGATTTCCCATTTGGTATATCAGTAAATACCATGTTTAATGCGCCCTACTTTATTCTTTTACTCTGTGTAACGCCGGACAATTTTATTCGTCAAGGGGAGAGTCTTGCACTCTAATGGGTTAATATGTACAATTGATATGACATTTGGCACTTTATTTTTTCTGTGCATATAGGAAAATGCCATTAATTAACCCATTGAGTGGCAGCACTATCCACTTCACTTGACAAGTAAGATCATCTGGTGTCAGACAAAGTAAAATACTCTGGTCTCAGACAGAGTAAAATACTAAAGTACAGCGCAATGGGGTGCATTGCCACTTAAAGGGTTAATGGTAAACATTAAACATGGTTTTTACCAATTTACCATATCAGAAATCTATAATAACCAATAATGGTAAGAGTTCAGTTTTTACATTATTTGATTATGCATGGTAAATCTTTAAAAACCATTCAAAAACCATTAATGCAGAAATTTTAAAATTTCTCCTTAGTTTGTAACATTATTGTTAGTAGAGCTATGATCATTTTCACAATTTATATATGACATATATTGTCATAACTTTATATATACAGGGTGTATAAAAAAAGTAATCAAACTTCAGCGCACCATTGTTTCTGAATTATTCTGTATATGAATGAGATCTTCTCATATTTGAAAAAAATCAAGCTTTTAGCTGTTGAATGATATGTTCTCAAAATGATAAAAAATGAGCAGATACGAATCTGATAAAAAATGTTAGTCAGAATCGCATATTTTCACTGTTGAGAGTTGGGTCTAAAACCATTGAAAATTAACCCCCTTTAGAACTTTTCATGAATTACTGCGCACATATTCATAATTATTATCAAGTAGGAATAAATCTTAGCTAAGCTACGACACGTTCGTGATTAATTGCTTTTTGATTAAACACACAGGTGAAAATATGCGATTCTGACTAACATTTTTTATCGGACTCGTACTTGCTTATTTTTTCTCCACTTGGCATGAAAAACATGTTATTCAACAGCTAAAAGCCTGATCTTTCCGAATATGAAACAATTTGTTCATAATTACACATACAATAACATGCTGAAGTTCGATTACTTTTTTTTTATACACACTGTATATTTCTATATCTCCAACCTCAAGCTGATCATCTCTTGATTATGAAATGTTTCTAATGCCTGGTGCAGTCTGGCATGAAGCTGAGTACCGACTCTAATCTATATTAAATAATTAATTAAGCTTTAAAATTAGCAAAGTTATTTCCATTCTGCCTGGAAGTCCAGTTGTTCATAGCCAGAACTCATGAAATAAGGCTGTGTATACACACCTGTTATCAAGCTGTAATAATCCACACTAAAATAGCCCAGCATAGATCACAGCAGTGGCCTCACTTCGGGCTTCATTCATCGCTGGAAGTTCTTCCCATACTTGGTGATCCAGGTCAAAACATTCCACAGAATTAAGACTTTTCTTTTCAAACCAATCATAACCTCCCATCACAATGACTTTGTTACCAGCAATTGTTGCTGCACATGACGACCTTGCATGCTTCATTGATGCCAACATTTTATGCTTATTTTCCTTCACGCTGTACAGGATTACTGTGTTTAAAGACACAGACGTATTAGTGGTGCCCCCAATAATGATGACATTGTCATTCCATCTTACAGTGGCTACATCACAAATTGCAAAAGGCAAAGACTGCATTTCTTTCTTTTCATCACTCACTGTATTATACGATAATACAGTGTTAACAGTAGTATCAACATTACCATTTTGTGATCCCGCAAATATGAACAGGGACTCTTTGAAAGCTTGCAGACCATGAAAACAGATCGGCTGTGACATTCTGCATTTCAATTCTATGGTGTATGGAGGATGAAGTAAGATGCTGTAAATAGCATCATTCAGAGAATTTCCCCCAGCATATCCACCAACCAAATAAAGGCAGTTGTTAACTACAGCAACCTTATGTCCACAAATCTTCAGTGGCAATTCTGCAAGGAAAGGAATCCACTTCAACGGCTTGCAGACCAATGACAATCTTTCTATTGTATCACTACTACTTTCGATGGACCGTCCTCCAGTGACAATGACATCATTTCCATACAATACTGATGCCGCAGAACCACGGGATTCTTGCATGGATTGCAACACTTTCCATGTCTGAGAACCTGGATACAAAACTTCAACTGAGCTCAAATTACCCTCTGCATTCTTGCCACCAATAACCATGACACTAGCGATAACGTTTGGTGAGGATGCTTGTGGGATTGGTGAGATTGCTATGTTTCGTTGATCATGTACCAAATCTCGTACCGCATTCAAGATTTCTTTCTGGGAATTGCACATTTCTTTCTGAGAATCAACTATTTCTTTCTGGGAATTGCAAATTTCTCCCAAAACATTTTTTATTTCTGACCTTTCTAGTTCCAATTTGTTGAGATCCTTAGTGAGTACACATGCATGCTTACTGAACTTCTTATAAATCATTTCATCCTCACAGTCAGAGCAATGTACCAGTCTGTACTCACATGCATTGATCACGTGTTCAGTCAGATCTTCTTGGTTGAATGTTTGTCCACATTTCTCATTTGTACAAACAATGGGACGGTAGTTACACTCAGGAACATGTGCTTGTAGTCCTGAAACTGGTAGCACCTCAGTACAACCTCTTTCCGAGTGATCGCAGCTAATCATAAGACCATTCAAATAATCTGTAAGAATCCTAGGAGGCTGAGCCAATGTTTCCTCGCTCAGATCTTGCACACAAATAGGGCATGATTTCGCATTCTTTTCAAGGTGTTTCTTTATGCAGCTTTTGCAGAAATAATGTTGATTTCGACATTGAACAGGATCTTTTAAGACTTCAGCACAGACTGGACAAAGAAAGTTGCTATCCACAGTAATTTGGAAGCGATTTGTGGCGTAACCTCCTTCAGAACAGCACGCCATTTATAATCGAGCTAGTCGAATAATTTTTTGCCGGAATTCAAGGAAATGAAGGAATGTTCACAAATTGTGCTTCCACTTATAAATAGAAATTTCAGATTTTCATTTTTAACTGGTATTTATTTCAAGAACATTTTTGGCATAGAATACTACGGATGTCACCGAAGTGTGCGAGCCACTAAAATTTCGCACGACCGCCACGCCCACAAAGCGTTAGCGACCCGCCCACAAAGCCATACGCGTTTTGTCTCAAAACTTTCTGTGTTTTTCTCCGTGTATTCGAGCGTGTATATTCGAGCGTGTATTTGTTTATACTGAAAATGATGTCTATGAAAGGAAAAAGGTACGAATTTAAAGTCGAATATGACTCATATGGTCATGGCATAAGAAATATTCTAAATTTTTCTTACGCGAGGAAGAGATAAAGCGATTTAGTTCGGAATTATTAGTGAAATACGCACGCAGGCTACTTCATCTCAGAGCAGTGAAATCAGCTCAAAGTCTAAAGAGATTTTACTCGCCGTCTCCTAATAGTAAGCAAAACACTCCACGTACAAAAACGATTTAGAAGTAAACGTATAATTTAATATCATGACAATATATGAGGCCGATTCGCACGGCGTAAACAAACAATTAGTCTTGTTATGGCCAGGGTTATCTGGCGCCAAACTTAATGAAATCTTCAGGTTTTCGGAAACTCTCTTCAAGTTCCAACAAATCTTGCTCTTTCTCCTCAATTGTTACTCGCAGCTTTTGTTCGTCCGTTTCAACTTTATCAAAATATTTCTGTGTCGGTGATATGTATTGTTCTATATTGGGGTATTCAAACCCAACTGGTTCGTCTTGGCCCGGACAACACTGGTTTGGTTATCATCGCAACAAATTGATTAAAGCAGGTTTATAACTCTAACTTATGATTGTCATTTAAATTACGTTTACTTCTAAATCGTTTTTGTGAAGTGTTTTGCTTACTATTAGGAGACGGCGAGCTGATTTCGCTGCTCCGAGATGAAGTAGCCTGCGTGCGTATTTCACTAATAATTCCGAACTAAATCGCTTTATCTCATCCTCGCGTAAGAAAAATTTAGAATAATTCTTATGATGACCATATGAGTCATATTCGACCTTAAATTCGTACCTTTTTCCTTTCATCATTTTCAGTATAAACAAATACACGCTCGAATACACGGAGAAAAACACAGCAATGTTATGTATGCCTTTGTGGGCGGGTCGCTAACGCTTTGTGGGCGTGGCGGTCGTGCAAAATTTTAGTGGCTCGCACACTTCGGTGACATCCGTAGTAA